CCTGAGGGACTGATTATCTCAAACTCCTCATCATATCCTCCACCGTTTTTCTCTTCACTATGCTGATAAAGCCTCTGGTTGATTTTATTATACCCAAGTGTAGCAGAGAATTCTCATTCATCTATTAATTTCAGTATTTAAACACAAAGAGACCCTCAAGGAGGGAGGGGGAGGAAATGTCCTCATGCTGGTGAAGGGCTCTTGATTCAAGAAACCGATGCTATCTTCCCTTTCATTTCTTAACCCCACGAATTTCGTTTGACCATGAATACAACAACATCCGGGTACTATACTACTGCTGCGCCAAAGCTCAATTATCCCAAACATCGACTACAGAAGGGTTGTGTGCCACATTTACATTAATGAGTATTTTACTCCCTAAAATACAAATTAGAAAAAAACTCTCTCTCTCTCTCTCTCTCTCTATATATTATATATATATATATATATATATATATATATATATATATATATATATATATATATATATATATATATATATATAAGAGAGCAAATGAGAGAGTGGGTGAGATGTTATCAACAAATTTTGTTGAAAATAAGAAAAAGTTTTGGAGTGAGATTAACAAGTTAAGAAAGCCTAGAGAACAAATGGATTTGTCAGTTAAAAATAGGAGAGGAGAGTTATTAAATGGAGAGTTAGAGGTATTGGGAAGATGGAGGGAATATTTTGAGGAATTGTTAAATGTTGATGAAGATAGGGAAGCTGTGATTTCGTGTATAGGGCAAGGAGGAATAACATCTTATAGGAGTGAGGAAGAGCCAGTTGTGAGTGTGGGGGAAGTTCGTGAGGCAGTAGATAAAATGAAAGGGGGTAAGGCAGCCGGGATTAATGGAATAAAGATAGAAATGTTAAAAGCAGGTGGGGATATAGTTTTGGAGTGGTTGGTGCAATTATTTAATAAATGTATGGATGAGGGTAAGGTACCTAGGGATTGGCAGAGAGCATGCATAGTTCCTTTGTATAAAGGCAAAGGGGACAAAAAAGAGTGCAAAAATTTTAGGGGGATAAGTCTGTTGAGTATACCTGGTAAAGTGTATGGTAGAGTTATTATTGAAAGAATTAAGAGTAAGACGGAGAATAGGATAGCAGATGAACAAGGAGGCTTTAGGAAAGGTAGGGGGTGTGTGGACCAGGTGTTTACAGTAAAACATATAAGTGAACAGTATTTAGATAAGGCTAAAGAGGTCTTTGTGGCATTTATGGATTTGGAAAAGGCGTATGACAGGGTGGATAGGGGGTAATGTGGCAGATGCTGCAGGTGTATGGTGTAGGAGGTAGGTTACTGAAAGCAGCGAAGAGTTTTTACGAGGATAGTGAGACTCAAGTTAGAGTATGTAGGAAAGAGGGAAATTATTTCCCAGTAAAAGTAGGCCTTAGACAAGGATGTGTGATGTCACTGTGGTTGTTTAATATATTTATAGATGGGGTTGTAAGATAAGTAAATGCGAGGGTCTTGGCAAGAGGCTTGGAGTTAAAAGATAAAGAATCACACATAAAGTGGGAGTTGTCACAGTTGCTCTTTGCTGATGACACTGTGCTCTTGGGAGATTCTGAAGAGAAGTTGCAGAGACTGGTGGATGAATTTGGTAGGGTATGCAAAAGAAGAAAATTAAAAGTGAATACAGGGAAGAGTAAGGTTATGAGGATAACAAAAAGATTAGGTGATGAAAGATTGGATATCAGATTGGAGGGAGAGAGTATGGAGGAGGTGAATGTATTCAGATATTTGGGAGTGGACGTGTCAGCGGATGGGTCTATGAAAGATGAGGTGAATCACATAGAATTGATGAGGGGAAAAGGGTGAGTGGTGCACTTAGGAGTCTGTGGAGACAAAGAACTTCGTCCTTGGAGGCAAAGAGGGGAATGTATGAGAGTATAGTTTTATCAACGCTCTTATATGGGTGTGAAGCATGGGTGATGAATGTTGCAGTGAGAAGGCTGGAGGCAGTGGAGATGTCATGTCTGAGGGCAATGTGTGGTGTGAATATAATGCAGAGAATTCGTAGTTTGGAAGTTAGGAGGAGGTGCGGGATTACCAAAACTGTTGTCCAGAGGGCTGAGGAAGGGTTGTTGAGGTGGTTCGGACATGTAGAGAGAATGGAGCGAAACAGAATGACTTCAAGAGTGTATCAGTCTGTAGTGGAAGGCGGGGTAGGGGTCGGCCTAGGAAAGGTTGGAGGGAGGGGGTAAAGGAGGTTTTGTGTGCGAGGGGTTTGGACTTCCAGCAGGCATGCGTGAGCGTGTTTGATAGGAGTGAATGGAGACAAATGGTTTTTAATACTTGACGTGCTGTTGGAGTGTGAGCAAAGTAACATTTATGAAGGGGTTCAGGGAAACCGGCAGGCCGGACTTGAGTCCTGGAGATGGGAAGTACAGTGTCTCTACTTCCCATCGGCAGGAGGGGTGCTAATGTTGCAGTTTTATAAACTGTAGTGTAAAGCACCCCTCTGGCAAGACAGTGATGGAGTGAAGGATGAAAGTTGTTTTTTGGGCCACCCTGCCTTGGTGGGAATCGGCCAGTGTGATAATAAATAAATAATATATATATATATATATATATATATATATATATATATATATATATATATATATATATATATATACAAAGACATAAGCGCAAAGCGTACACACATCCTGTAAGAAATAAATATAACAATCACCAGTATGGTTACCGGTGCTCAATAGGTAATAAGTTTTGCAATATTACCATGCAACCAGGCTGTGGTTCGTACGTCAGCTTGCGCGCAGCCAGCAGTAATTGCCTGGTTGATCAGACCCTGATCCACCAGAGGCCTGGTCTCAGACCGGAACGGCGGGGGCGTTGACTCCCGGAAACCCTCCCAGGTAAAACTCCAGGTAATCCTCACATATCAATAACCATAACACACGTCTTTCCACTCCTCCCAGATCAACAATCAAAACCTTTAGACAGGTTACACCACATCCTCAAATATTAACAATCACAGTATGTCCCGTGCTCAGTAACTAAGTTTTGAAACAATAATGTTTTTCAACCATTATTAAACTTCAGCTTGCGCGTAGCCAGCATAAAATGCCTGGTTGATCAACCACTGATCCACCATGAGGCTTTGTCTCAACTTGAAGCAGGGCGTTGACCCCCGAAAACCCACTCCAGGTAAACTTCAGTAATCCCACAATCAATAACTACACTGTCTTTCCACTCTAACAACAGGCACGCATTAAAAACACTTTGTATTAGTTGCTTACACCACTGATTCTCTTAAAAATCTTAATGCTGCTTGTACTACTTTAAAAACAAAAGTGTTTTTTTTACCACTTATAAAACAATTATGTTGCTCCACTATAAAAAACATTGTTGTACCACTTATAAAACTAGTGCTTTGTACACATTATAAAGCTGTGTTTTTGTACCACTATAAACACTAGGTGTTTTGTCACGGTATAAAACAACTAGTGCACCATTTATAAACAACAGGCTTCATGTACGGCTATAAATCCACTGTACCACTATCAAAACTACGAGCCACTATAAAACAACTAGTATTGTACCACTTCTCTAAAGCTATGTACCAGTTTTATTAAATTCTATTGTACCACTTATAAAACAGTTGTTGACCCCGTAAAAACTAGTGTTGAACCACTTATAAAACTAATGGCGTTGTACCACTACTGTGTTTGGTTGTGCAACCATATACCAATTTTATTGTGCTGTTGTACCACTTATAAAGCAACACACACATTGTTGTGCCACTTATAAACCAACTAGTGTTACTATGCTACAGAAAGCACGCAGACAGCGATTAAGTTTTCATTTCCAATTTGTTCCTTAGTTATGAATCGTAGTCAAAAGAACACCTGGCACCTGGCTGGCTCAAGCATGGCGTAGCCGACAGTAGTCAAAGACAAAAACAGTAGAATATTTCACCAAGACGAGGCTTCATCAAGTAATTTATAAAGCTTCATATAGGCTGTACGTCTTTTCCCCACCCTGCGCCTGGTTGAAGCCATGACGAGAGCGGAAGTAGCTATTCACTCCCATGCTAACGTTGGAATTACCATTCGATTTGGGATCATTGGAAAGACAAATGTCTGTATGCTCCCACTTTCTTCTTGAATGAAACATGACCTTCCTTCCTGTGTTTCAGAACAGATGCAGGGCATGGCAGGTGACATATATGCATGCACCTTAGTACTTATGTACAAAGGGAAGAGTTAATCCGTAAATTGATATAGCGTCTACATGTACTGTTTGATCTATTGCATGACCAATTAGTTCATAATGAGAAGCACAACCAAGAAAAAATCATGGCCTATAAGTTTACGAAAGTGAGGATAAAACTTTATAACGTAATATACATATAAAACAAAAAAAATGAGTGTTTATATTGAATTATATTATAATAAAAAAGAAGCGCTTAACCTACAAGAGTCATTTATACTGAATTATAGTCATCCGAAAATTCACTGAGATTCTTATCGGAATCCAAGAAAAAATTAACTGAAAATTTTAACGAATTACGTTAGCCTGTATAAAATGTCACATTAGTTGCATTTGTATCCTTTTACTTAATATAAATCTATTATTACTAATATGCCAATATATCTACTGCAACTAATCAATCTTATCCTATTCTTCCTACAATCAAACATGTTTCAGATGAACATAACTCATCCCATTCAGGAGAAAAAAAAAATAAGAGTAACTCGAGATCTTAAATTGTGCCACAAGTTATGAAGTGCATTATTTGTGTTTATGTAATACTCTCTTGGTAACACCACCATGGAGTAGCCTCCGACATTTAATATTCTTAGAGAGATTCGACATTAAATTAAATTGAAAATATAATGACAAAAACTAACATAGAAAGGTAACTACTGTCTATGCACAAGAGAGTACTGACTCAACGACAATCAATTTGTTAAACAAAAAACGCGACAAACAAATGCAGATTAAGGCTTCCGGCGACTTTCTCTTCCATGGATAGTAGTACAGCAAGAAAACGGAGTCACTACCGGACCAGCTCCCCGCTTAGATGCGGGGAGAGTGAGCCGGACCCTCTAACCCCCAATCCTCCACTACCTCCCCAAGACAGGGGCCAGCGCGCGCATGCTGCCGGTCACAGACTCCAGTCAAGCCCCCCAGTCCACTTTCTGGAGACCCAGTGTTCAGTTGCACGCCACTATCTTAGTAACATCACCTATATTGGTGGTCTCCACATATACAAATAAAACAAATATTGCTGCTGGTCTAGACAGGTGAAGGTTTATTGACCCTAAGCATTATGTGAGCCGGTATTGCACCTCATCTTAATTCTTACGACGGAACTGAGCAAGTGAAAAGTGTAGTACCACATATTCGTTACTATTAACAAATAGTGCCAGGAAATTATTGTGAATTACAAAATACTCTATATACAAGAGAATCTGCACAGTGAAACATAATTCAAGAGAACAAAGTGGCTCCACCTGGACTACCAGTTCCTAACCAACATATAAGAGCAGTTAGGAGATACCAGTGCTACCTGTGTTGATCACATCTACTTCGAGGTGATTAACCTGTTTTAAGCTGCAAGCACACCATTGATAAGGTCATAAGGTAGGTCACGACAATTACAACATAAATATAATCTTGAAACCTGTATTATTTATACTTCTTGGTTTCATATTAGGGAATATAATGAGAACGGCTTTGATGGGACTTGAGCTACAGTTTGTCACGGGAGATTCAACTGTAAAAACTTGCATTTGTGGTCACATTGGGATCCATGCTAACCTCCCTATGGTGTATAAATATACCTAGTTGGATGAATTTTACTGTAGGCAGCTGGTCCATTGCCTTAGGCGCTGGCCTGGAGTTTTACGATTCATTTGCCGCGAGTTCAAGCCTCACCCGTATAGTGATATATACTACATCTCTTTATAACTGCTAAGGCTTCATTTAAATTATACTGTATAGTTCCTCTTCACATTACAGAACATATATTGATGTGCTGGAGAACATGCAGGGGATGATCAAGTTAATAATGTGTATCAGAAACCTTTCAAACAAAGAAAGATTACAAGCACAGAACCTATATTTTCTGACTAGGTATTGTATTAAAGGGTCATAAGTGAAGTGTATAATGGAAAACTAATACATATAAGCAGAATGTTAACAATATCTTACCAAGACATGACTCGCCTGCCTCTCATGAATCAAATGACGCTCCTTGACAATTTTTTTCACTCATGTACAGCTCCACTGCCAAACCAAAGTTTAAACATATCCTTTTAAAATCTGAATTTATCCAATTTATTCCATCGTTGAGCGTTCTGCCTTGGTTAGATACAGTATTTTTAGCACCGTATTTATATAAACTGTTTGTCTTTCATAGTCAATTACTTCTACACTTGTAAATTTCAAGTTTAGTGGTCTTAATTAATCATGAATGTCATTAAAAAAGTCACAATAATCATGATCTTTTCATGAAAAGTAATAATAATCATGATCTTGTCATGAAAAAGTCACAATATCGTGGATGGAACAACTCACAAATAACCCACACTTAGGAGAGGAACCTAGTCACATTTCCGTCCGTCCTGGACCATTGTCAAATCACAAATAAGTTAGGGAAAAACTCATCACTTTTTAGAGCTCTTCTATTAGACTTTTATTTATTCTGTAATATGGAAAACAACTGCGCCTCATATAAACTCTGCCTTACCAACGAAATAGCTGTAGTATAATCCTGTACTTTGTTACTATACTTGTTATATGAAGCAGGTTACCTACCACATTTCGACCATTTATGTAATTGCGCATACAGCTACACACACAACGGTATGTAAGCTGATATTCAGATGGTGATGGTATATAATATTTTTATTTACTACATGTACAAGGTATATAGGCCTAGCTGATATCAGTGACGTACTACTATATAGAAAGCCACTTGTTATGCTGAGCATTTAGGGCAAATTAGGTAAATTTTGTCCCAGGATGCGACCCATACCAGTCGATTAACACCTAGGTACCCATTTTACTGATCTACCTGGAGGGCATTCCAGGGATCAACGTCCCCGCATCCCGGTCCACGACCAAGCCTCCCGTGTGAACATGGACAACAGGTGCAAGGAAACACGCCCAATGTTTCCACCCTTGTCGGGAATCGAACCCAGACGCTCAGCGTGTGAAGCGAGAGCTTTGCCTACCAGGCCACGAGCCACCCTGATGATCAGGTGCTACCAGCTGAGATCCTCAGGGGCTCCCTCTTCCCCTTTAGGCTTTTTTAGCCCACTTCACGTTTTACCTTTCGGCAGTTTTGCCTGTGTGTCTGCAGCATTGTTCATTGGGACTGATTTTTCAGTTTGCCTCACTGGCTCTCACTCACTGAGTGAGAGCAATTAGGTTATTTGAAGGAGTTCGTCTCTCTCAGATGTAGCGTTGAGCGCCTCTCAAGGTTCCTTGATGCTGGTGAGAGGCTCTTGATCTTGGGAATTGGATTTGTGCTCCAGCTCCCTGAATTGAGCCTGAATGCCTTCCATTCCCCCCCCCCCAGACGCTGTATAATCCCTACGGGTTTAGCGCTCTCCCATAATAATATAGCATTGAACATCCCCCAGGATGCGACCCACAACAGTCGACTACTTACTACTAGGAGAACAGAGGCAACGAGTGTAAGGAGACTTGTATATAGTGGTGGTGTGAAGATCCCTGGCGTCATCATCATCACCAGTGGTCACTGGAGGGTGATAGTCGTTGCAACCAAGTCGTTGCAACCATGTACGTATTATAGGTTCACCTCTGGTGCTTAGAACTTTCGTTAACCTCTGTACAGTAGGCTGTATAATACATTCCTGCTGGTCCTGTCTACCTCCTTATTCTCTCCTGTTTTGCCCTTACACCTTCATTCAAGCAACTGGAACTACCTTCCCCTACCTGAACATAATTAAACCTCCCTTACAGGAAATCGCTGATCGAAAGGGTCTGAAAAAGTACAGAACAGATTTACAATCATGTTATCTCCCGTTGTTTTAGCAGATGGTCCTAGAGTGTTGGCCTGTATTCTAGGAAAAGGAGGTTCCATTCCATGTACTGGCTATTTATGATTAGAAACTCTTCCACTGAAGGTTCCCCTGACTAACAAAACTTAAGGAAGATATTTTTTGTCTTGTAACCCATTGTCAGTACCCCTATGTGACTTATACTACAGCACTATTCAACGTCATCTGCTGGTGATATTTTAAAGGCAATATTGTTATATCCACTGGTGAATAAGGAGTTGCAAGAGCGCTGGTCAAAACGTTTACATCCTATATTTGTCAAACGGTAGGTCCGACGATCTTAGCATACTCACTTGTGATATAACTTAGATGGATTTCGAGATTTTTTTCCACTCCCGCAGTCAGGCTTTTCTGGTATTTGCATGTTCAAACAGGTTGTTGCTGCTGGTCCGCTGGCCCACATATCTATTACAGTCTAGTTGATCTGGCATTTGGTGCAGATACATGCGAGTTTCCTAACTTCAAGACTTGTGCACTTGTTCTGGCAGTGTTTCTGATCAATTTTCTACTACTTGATTGTTGTCAACTTGTCACTTGGTAAGTGATGGTGGTATGGAAGCTGCTACCATTATTGTGCTAAATGATGACACCGTGAAATGTTAATCATCGCCTCAATGGTGTCTCGTGTTTTCAGTGGTTATTTTCATTCTTCAGTTTGATTAACATCAGTCGTTTTCCATATTATTAATCACGAGAGAGGTGAACCCGTGAAAGGTAGTTCAAATTCCTTGAATGATAATCCCTTGAGCGGCATCAAGGCACTTCTACCACCTTGAAGTGCAAGTTTTACTTAAGTTCAGCAACGCTAACCATCCATGATGTCAGCAGGCACCTCGTGCTCACTATATGTGACATCACTACATATAAGACACCATTGTGTGTAATCTCCGCATGCTTGCTTCTTTACTGCTTTGTGTTCCTCTCGTCCACTCTCCGCACTCTCACCCCCTTCCCGTCTACCTCACACTCACCACTCGCCTCCACCAACTCCACTCACGTCTTCCCTCCCTCCCATCAAAGTCACTCTCCTTCCCCCTCCCTTTCTCTGCTTCACTTTAATCTCCGTATTCGCCCTCTAAGAACATCTCTTAATTTATCTCCCCTTCACGTTCACCCCGTGTCTTACTTTCCCCTCCTTCCTTGGCACGTCCCGAGGGTTCAAGTTTGTTCCTCCCACTTTCCATGACAGAAGGTTCATGTGTCGACTTGCACTCACTCTTTTTTCAACACTTTCAGTCACGGTCTTTATAGCTGTGTACAATGATCGTTCCGAATCCCCACACGGAGAAGAATAAGCAGCTTTTTTTTAATAGAATAATCCAGACATATACTGGAATTAGCCAATATTTTTACAGATGAATTATGAATTTATGCAATATTCTTCGCTGCCCTACACATTGGAACCATGTCTGTCCCGTCACTCGTTTTCACCTCCCAAAGTGCGTTACTAACTATCCACAAATTCGACTCTCCACATCCCACTGTCTTCATATACAACAATGGTTGTGTTGCATTTCTAGCAAGCACAAGGAAGTCGTTTTTGCAGGGGTCCCTGAACATGCAAAAAGTCAAGGCTTATAATAAATATACACTCAGCAGTTCGGTCAGCTATTTACGAATTACTAATCTCCCGCAAGGGTGTTCCTTTCTCTTATTATATTCGTCCTCTCAACAAGATCGAATCCTCTGACAACAACGTTCACAAGATTTAGGACACAAATCGTTTTCTATTGAACTGCAATTAGATTCCTGGCCATCTTCCCACTACTGTCACGTTTGGGAAACACTACACTGTCACTTTTGATAATCGGACACACACGACTCACACAGATACTACATCTTATTTGTGACCTGGAAGTCCTCAGAAAGGACTGCCAGGTCGCATTATCAGTTCACCATATCTTAATTAACATACTATGTTATCAAAGAGCAGGCCGACTTCTCCTCGCACAGACTCACGCCTCTAACATAACCTCACTGACTTTTTTTTAGAAAATAACCTATTGCACAAACTCTGACTTCAATTTTGCAGCCACATTAACCCCACCTCACTAACCCCTACCTTCGCACACCCCCAACTCGCAAGACTGACTCCACTTTCTTTCTGGTATGCTGGAGGAATGTTGAAGGAAGTTGGTGTGTGTTGGAGGAGTGCTGAAGGATCTTGGTGTGTTGGAGAGCTGAAGGAAGTTGGTGTGTGTTGAAGGAAGTTGGTGTATGTTGAAGGAGGTTGGTGTGTGTTGGAGAAGTGTTGAAGGATGGTGTGTGTTGGAGAAATATTGAAGGATATTCGGTGTTGTTAGGTACGTGTTGAAGATATATCTGTTTTGGAGGATGTATGTGTGTTAAAAGCTATAGAAAGCATACCACTGTTGGAGAGAGTAGGTTTTGAGGGTTGGAGAATGTGGATTCAAGTTGGAGGATGCTGATTTGTGTTGGGGAATGTAATGAAGACATTTTGAAAAAAAATATGCATGTGCATTAGGATTGTTGTGTGTACTAACTCCTTTGTGCTTGCAGGGGTCGAAATATAGCTCATGGCCCCACCTCTTC